GATCTCAGTCTCAGATCATTTGGGTCTTGGTGTTTTACAGGTCTCAAAAATGAGACTGGCTAAATTTAAATGTTTTACCACTATTTAGAACTGACATAATCAACAAAATAAAGGAACAAAAAAGATTAAGAAGAGAATATATGATAACCAGTGAACCACAAACAAAACACAAATAAATACGTTCAGAAACAAAATTAGAAACAACATTTAGCTACTAAAATCACAAAAGTGGAACACCTTCTGTACACAAATAAACTCAAAAACAGATTACAATAATTTCTGGTCCCATATAAAAAAAGCTACAAGATCAAACAAAAACAACTATCACCACCTGTCCTACACTTAAACATAACAATAGACTAGCATACATGACTAAACAGAAAGCACACACCTTTATAGAACATCTTCAAAAAACATTCAAAACACCAGATGACTCAAAGGTGAACAACCACTTCATGAACATAGTAAATAATAATATTACAATCAATCGTAGTATATATATTATACACCACGCTTCATTAAGGACACTCAACACAATAGCACAACAGTCGAAGTGGAGCATGATTACACAACAAAACAGACCTGTCACAGTAGCAGAAGTACAAGAAAACATAAAACCTTTGAAAAACAAAGCACCAGGACAAGAAAAAATTCAAACTTATTACTCAAGGAAAAAACCTCTGAGATTATTATAACATCTTACATTTTTATACAACTTATCTCTAAAAACAGGATACATACAAAACAACCACTTGGGAACAGGCCCAATGTTCTTATGTTCCATGAGAAAGTGAAATCAGTGAATAACCCTGAAAACTACAGACCCATAAATCTAACAAGCAATCAAGGAAATCACTTGAAAAATTAATACTCATGGAAATGCAAAATGACTTCCGAAATGCAAGACAAACAACAGATCATCTCATAAGATTAACGGAAATAATAATACACGGCTTTAATAAAAAGCAATGCACAGTCACATGCTTCCTAGATTTTGAAAAAGCATTTGATAAAGTATGGCACAATGGACTCTGATACAAACTGTCCAAATTGGACTCCCCATAGAAATTATTCACTGAGTTTCTAACTTCCTGGAAGATAGTAGCATCAGAGAAAATTTTGAGGGCACCTACTCCAAGTGCTGCACTCTGGAGGCATGTGTCCCTCAAGGAGGAGTGAGTACTTAGCCCTACCTTGTTTATCATGTATGTCAGTGACATGCCTCTCAAATACCCAGAACTTTTTGCTCACAGTTCACAGATGATGTTACAATCTGGAAGAGTGCCCCAAACCCAACAACAGCAACATACAAAATACAACCACTATTAAATCAATTAGAATTGTACTGCAATAAGTGGAGAATTAAAATTAACAAAACACACACAAAAATGCACACAAAACACAAGTCTTATTATTTACAAAATCATTCTCAACAAGCAAAATAATACTACAGTTATATCTAGATGGGGCTCTCTTACAGGTAGCAACATCAGTAAAATTCTTAGGGATTACATTTGACTAAACATTAATTAAACTGAATACCACACATTAATAGCATAAAAACCAGAATTACGACACTTATGATATACAACATTGTTTATTAACAAAAAGGGGACATAGATAAACGTTTTGGAATTCTATCAGATTCCATCTT